AAACTTTGAAAAAAGTAATTATATTTATATATTTTTTTGAGATAGATTTTCTAAAATGTGTTTTAAAGAATACAAAAATTAATTTTTGAGTTATGTACCTTAAAAAAAATTATATAAATATTAACGTAATTTTTTAAAAGATCTAAAACAAAAGTTTTGTATCTCATATGTTTGAACAATCGTAAGAATTTTTATTTCAATTGATTTACTATTTATAGCATTATTTATATGGAACTATATGTGGATACATATTTTTTTTTCTCATCCCTACTTTACATATAATATATTATCTAAAAATTCATTTTTATCAATTATGATAAAAAAAAAAGTGTTTATAAATTATTTTTAATCTTGACTTTTAAATAACGTGAAAATTTTTAATATATTAAAATAAAAATACTTTTATTATGAATTTTAATTTAATAAAACTAATATTTACCATGTCTAAAGAGACAAAATAAAACCTTTCAAACGGTCAAAACACTAACTTCTTTTTTACAAGAAAAGTCATACTAACTTAAACTCTAAATAAGTTATCAGTAAACCTAATTCTCAAAATTCATAAAATTAATACACGAAGTGACGTAGCAAAGGATGTAACACTTCAATTAGCTAATCTAATAGAATAAAACAAAAGACAAAATTTTCAGCGAGTAAGATTTCGGGTTTTCTATTGATTTTCTAGTTTCTACACTCCTGGTCTTTCTTCGTGTCTACTGACTCCATTAATTTTTCCATTCTTCTATTAACAAGTAAGTTTTGATTGCATTATGTTTTCTTATAATCTCTTTCACTTAGATCATAGTAGCTAATGTGGCATGACATTGAATAATTAACTTTATATCCTATCTTATTTTATGTTATACAAATACAAATATGTATCTGTTACATTTTTATTTTGGTTCTAAGAAGCTTCTTTATTCCTAAAATATGGTAAAAGGAAAACTTGTACAAGCTATTTTCATGTCACATGATTTTGTGTTTACTTATCTAATGAAATGCATTGCAGGTTATTGAAGGAATGAGTAAGAACATGATTCTTCTTAAAAAACATTGTGCCTGCAGCTCAGAACAACATAGACACTAAATTCATCCTTTTGGACAAAGGGAAAACCATAGTAGAAGGGCATAACAAGATGTGTTTGGCCTTTGTGGCTGATGAAACTACAACAGTTCATTTTCAGTTTTGGGGAGATGAGTGTGATGCGTTTGATTCAGGTGACATAATTTGTCTTACCAATGGCATATTTTCATACCAGCACAGGAACCTTGTATTGCGGGCAGGGAAGAGAGGGAAGCTAGTGAAGGTGGGGGAGTTTACTATGGCCTATGTTGAGACACCAAACATGAGTGAGATTCATTGGATTCTCAACCCAAACAATTCTAAGAAATATGTCCAATTATATGTAATATCTCATGTGTCACGCGTTCTCCCTCCTCTTCCTTCTGATATGTAAAAGGTTTATTCCAGAATATGAATATTTTTTTTCACGGTCCCAAAAGAAGGATCATCTTGTTTTTTCTTTTCTGTTTTGTCCTTGTTGTGATGGAAATTAGGATTAAGTTCATGTGCAATAAACTATTTATTGATTCATGTGATGACTATTACAATTCATAAAGTTCATAAATACAAAAATTGTGTACTTTTTCATTTGAATTATACCCAAAACATTTCATCATTCTTATGAATAATTATATAAGCCAATGTTATTCTTATATTTTTGATTGAAAGAAATATATCGTCCAACCCTTTTAGTTGATATTAATGTTGATACAACTTATTAGTCAAATTTATGTTTTCTGAAACAGTGATAAGCATAGAACTAGAAGGCATAGGCACAGACACAGGCACAGGAGACATCAAGCACCAGCTCCAGCTCCAACAATTATTCGCAAAAGCCCCCCAGCACCATCTGATACCACAGCAGAATCAGACACAACACCAGCACCATCACCAAGTCTGAATTTGGTAATTTGTTTAGTAAAATATCAAAATTACATTTATATACGAATATAAGCCAGATTTACCAACGTCATATCAGTATCACATTGTTTTGACCACATTTTTTCCTCCTTTCACAGAATGCTGCTCCATCAAACCACCAACAAGGGAGAAATATATGGACAACAGCTGGACTGGCTATTACAGTTTTGCTAGCTGTCATTGTCTACAGCTGCTAGCAGTCTCATGGATTCAATCTAAGCAGTTATTTGGTTTGCAAGATATAAAATTATTTCATGTGCATAGATCTGAATAATGAGAATCTATACCGATGATTCTTTCCTTTTTTTTTGGTTGTGATCTGTGCTCAGAAATGTTGATGGATACGAATTTTTGAATTATGGAAAAAAAATGAGGAAATGTCACATAAAATATCTCTAGTTTTATAAGTTATTACATCAAACTTGATCAGTTTCTGAGTCTATGCTTATATTCTCCCGAAAGTCATACTCTGTGATAAGTCCAAGATTGTCAACTAGTTTATGATGCCGTCGACATCCTGCACACTAGTAAGATGAAATTCCAATTACTTGCATGGAATAAGTATTTGCATGGCACTAATTTTTCAAAATGTGTATAAAGAAGAAAGGAAACCATGAGAATATGGCCATCATCATTCAGTAACGTTTCCTAAAACAAAAGCATACTTATTACTTAGCAACACAAGATTAAAAGGTAACCACAAAACTGGCCGCAAGATAATGAGCACAAATTAACTTTCTACACTCTTGCATGCAAGATCCAATATTATTAGCCATTCCGTAATTTATTGAACTTTCAGAACAAGCTGACATGCAGAAATACAATCATTTTACTTCCTTTGTATGACATGAGCACCAAACACAAATCTCAGGAAAGGATTATATGGCTGAGAAATTATTTTTCTTTTCTTGTAGGCAAAAATAGGTGTTCCATTTTAATATTTTACAGATAAAAAAGATATGGTGCACATTAATATGCTACATACACATAAACTGGGAGTAGATATTGCGGGCAGGGAAGAGAGGGAAGCTAGTGAAGGTGGGGGAGTTTACTATGGCCTATGTTGAGACACCAAACATGAGTGAGATTCATTGGATTCTCAACCCAAACAATTCTAAGAAATATGTCCATCATTGCAGGAGAACATCCTTGGCTTGGTATGTCCCGCTGAGCTGCTCTACCATGAGTTTTGAGTCGCTGTTGCAACTCACTCTCTATGCTCCGAGATCGTGAGCTAACCTTAGCCCGGCGAGAAGTGCTTCGTACTCCTCTTGGTTGTTTGTCACTTTGAAGCCAAACTTGAGAGATTGCTTCAAGGTGACTTGGTTTGGACCCTCCAGAATAATACCTGCACCACCACCCTTAGAATTGGAGGACCCATCAACATGTAAGATCCGTACCTGTTGTTCGTCGGCCGAGGTTGGAGTTAGTTCGGCCACGAAGTCTGCCAGGCATTGTGCTTTGAGGGGGCCGTGACTTTCATATTTGATGCCGAACTCGGACAGCTCTACTGACCACGATATCATCCGTCCAGCAAGCTTTGGCTTGCGCAAGATTTGTCTGATTGGGTAGTCGGTTTTGACAACCACCTGATGGCTTTGAAAGTAAGGTCGGAGATGCCGAGCCGCGGTGACAAGTGCCAGTGCCAGCTTCTCAATCATCTGGTACTGTTTCTCCGTGTCTTGGAGCCCTCAGCTAATAAAGTAGATCGGCGTCTGCACTTTCAGGTGCTCTTGTACTATAACTACGCTGATTGCGCCTTCTTCCACGACCAAATAGAGGAGGAGGTCGGCTTTGTGATCCGGCCTCTGTAGGATTGGTGGAGTTGTGAGGAAGGCTTTGAAGCTCTTGAAGGCCTCTTCGCATTGGTCCGTTCACTCGAAATTCTTTGGCTTTCGCAACAGGGTGAAGATGGGCCCTGCCTTCTTCGCTAACCTGGGGATAAAACGGGAAAGGGAGACCAACCTTCCTGCCAGGCGCTGGACGTCTTTCACGGTTTGAGGGCTCTGCATCTAGATTATTGCTTTGCACTTCTCCGGGTTGGCCTCTATCCCCCTGTAGTAATCATAAAACCAAGGAATTTACCTCCTCGGACGCCGAAGACGCACTTTTCTGGGTTGAGACGCATGTTGTGTTTCCTGATCTGGCTGAACACCTCGGCCAGGTCGGCAGCATGACCTTCAGCCGAAGTGGTTTTGACCACCATGTCGTCGACATAAACTTCCATGTTCCGCCCAATCTGTTGGTGGAAAACTTTGTCCATCAGTCACTGGTAGGTGGCCCCTGCATTTTTGAGACAGAATGGCATCACTCGGTAACAAAAGTTGGCGTGGTTTGTGATGAACGACGTATGCACCTCGTCTGGTGGGTACATCATGATCTGGTTGTACCTGGAGTAAGCATCAAGGCAGCTGAGGAGGGCGTGTCCGGGTGCTCCATCAACCAGCCTGTCGATGCGGGGCAAGGGGTACGAGTCCTTGGGGCATGCTTTGTTCAAGTCGGTATAGTCGACGCACATGCGCCACTTCCCCGAGCTCTTCTTCATCAGTACCACTTTTTCCAGCCACGTGGTGTATCTGACCTCGTGGATGAAACCCGCGTTCAGCAGCTTTTTCGTCTCGGTGATGATGGCCTCTCGCCTCTCGCCACCGACCTTCCTCTTCCTCTAGGCCACTGGTTTCGCCTCCTTGTGAATTGCCAGCCTGTGACAGATGAAGTTAGCATCTATACCTGGCATGTCGGTGCTAGACCATGCGAAGAGGTCAGTGTTCTTGGCGATTTTGGCTTCGAGCTGTTGCCGTAATTTCGGGTTCAGTTGCTTGTTGATTTTTGTGCACTGCCCAGGAAGCTTTCCGATTTGGAAGTCATCGAGCTCGTCGATGGGGGTCGACCGTTCCTCTTCGGAGTCCGACCTCAGATCTAAGTCGGTGATGTCCACGTGGGCGATATGAGCCACGGTAGGAGGGTCACTTTTGCCGCGCTCCTCGGATGATGAGACCTTCAAACTATTGGCATATTACTGCTGAGCTATTTTCTGGTTTGCTCTGACGGAAATAATCTTGCCATCACTCCCTGGGAATTTCTTGGTGAGGTGCGGGGTAGACACCACTGCCCCGAGTTGGTTCAACGTCGATCTTCTAATGATGATATTGTAAGACGTGTTGGCTTTTACGAGGAGGTATCGGATCATGATCCACCTTGAGTCAGGAGAGGCTCCGAAGGTTGTCAGCAGGTTCACGTGCCCTTGAGTGTGAACACGCTCTCCTGCAAAACTGACTAGAGGTTCTGTATGAGGTTGGATAAGGGAGTGAGGGATGTCTACCCTGAGGAACGTCAGCCAGTATAGGATGTCAACCGAGCTCCCTTGGTCAATCAACGTCTTGTGCACCTCCCAATTAGCGACCTCCAGGACTATGACCATTGGATCATCCTGGTTGGGGCAGACGCCGGTGTAGTCGTCATCGGTGGTGTGCTTTGGTGCGAGGCCGAGGTGGTGGAGTGGACATTGTTGATGCTGCACAAATGTCGATCGCGCCGAGTTGCTAGAGCCTCCCCCTGCGAAACCACCTGCAATTGTGTTGATGACACCCCGTAAGGGGGCCAACCCTATTTCCTGGCTTACCTCGGCCTGCATTGCGCCACCAGTGTTTTGCTGGGATCTAGAGGGTTGGTCTATCCGGGTGCCTACGCCGCAACCTCGCCCTCGTCCTTGTCCGTTGTAGCCTCCACGGTGACCTTGCTGTCGTTGTATGTATTGCCCGAGGTGTCCTGCTTGGACGAGCTCCTCTATACGATCTCGGAGTGTACGACATTCCTCGGTGGTGTGACCGTGGTTTCTGTGGTATCGGCAGTGCTTTGTCCTGTCCGTGTTATTGGGACTGTGCCCAGGTGGTCGTAGAGTTAGCAGGTTACTGTTGCTGGCTTCCTCCAGGATGTGCACTCGGGGCGCACTCAGGGGGGTGTAGAAGTCGTATCTCCCCCCTTTGTTTACCCTAGCAGACTTCTTGAACTGACTATCATTTTTGACCTTCGTCTTGTCCTTGTGACCATGGTCTGGCTTTGCCTGTGACTTGCCGCGAACCTGGCCACAAAAAGCTGAGTGCTCTTCCATCTGGATGTACCCGGCAGCTCGGGCACGGAGCTCGTCCATGTCACGGGGAGCTTCATGACACAGGCTGTCTATCAAAGGTCCGGGCTTGAGCGCGATGAGCATGGCGTGTAGGGCGACTTCAGGATTCAGATTCTGAATCTTGACCGAGATGCTGGCGAAGCGCTCCATGAATGTCCTTAGCGACTTATCGTCACCCTGCTTGAGACTGTCCAAGGCGGCCGACGTGACATGGTGAGGCCGACTCGTGGCATATTGATCCATGAATTGCCTTACCAGAGTATTGAAGTTGTCAATCGACTCAGCCGGTAATTGGGTGTACCAATTGAGTGCGGCCCCCTTGAGCGAGGTCGGAAAGACCCTACACAAAATAGCATCATCATTAGTGTAAAGATTTACCTGCGTAGTGTACAGGTCGATGTGCTCGTCCGGATCCGTCGTGCCGTTGTAGCGGTCGATGTGGAGAGGCTTCCAACCGAAAGGGAGAGGCGTTTCCATGATGCTGTCCACAAAAGGATGGCGACGAGAGCTCGCCCGATTTCCAGTGACCTGGGCAGGAGCATTGCTGACTTCATGTGTCGACCTGTTCATCGGTGCGTGAGATCGATGTGTGGCAGGTTGGGGAGTCGGTGCCCTAGGCCAAGAAACTTGTTGGTTTTTTTAGGCAAGCGCACCCAAGTCTCTGTAGTATGAATAAAAGGTTGTCGAACCTCAGGGACTTGTGAGATAAGCTAAGATTTCTATTATACTAATTGATGCTTATGAATTTGAAACTGGAATAATTACACATATTCGAATTTGATATAGATGATTTTTAAAGTTCAAGAAACCACAAAGTAATTTGATTCGAAGAAAAACAGATATAAGAAACAGTTGGGATTCGATTTCATCAATCTCCCTCCTATGCACTCCTATTGATTCTTTCTAAAGATTTCATTACTCATTGCCATTGAGTTCTCTAAATTTATTCAAACCCAATCCCTTGGCTTAAGAACGTCTAAGATATTTAACTCAATGAATGATTCCTCACTTCATTCGGTTAAATACCCCGCATTAAGAATCAGAACTTATTGCAACTACTAGTTTCAAGACCATCCCTGGCTCTCAAAACTAATAGGTGATTCGTTCCAAGTCTAGATTTAGAAAACGTTTTCCAACCAAATTCTAAACGCAAAATCAGAGATAAATGATCAGTTTATCAAAGCATTAAGAACAGGAACAAAATCACTGACATAAAGTAATGGATGATATATATATGAATCAAAGAGGAATACATAGGAGTTTGACGATTACATCTATCCCAACCCTAGAGATTAGCTCTCCATATTACAAGAAATCACCAAATTACAAGTTGAGAGGTAGAAGAAGAAGAAGATCCTTTGAAGATTCGTGTTCCCACGAGCTCCAGAGTACTCTGTTTTTCTCCTCTCTCTGTTCTCTTGCTTCGTACAGCTTGATGTTGATTTTTTCTCTCTCTTCTGCCCTTATATATGTGATAAAATTAAAATAGAGTGAACAGGAGAGATACAAATCCACTCAACGCCTTGAAACGGCTGAGCGGTTTCAAGACTCCTTCACCATGAAGTAACCCAAAGGGCTGAGCCCCTTGGATCCGCTGAGCGCCTTGGAGATCTTTCACTGCTAAGCATTCAAAAGGGATGAGTGCCTCAGATCCGCTGAGCGCTTTAGAGGCAGAAAGCACCCCCCCTTTTTCTTGGGTCAAATCCGCTGAGCGGATGGGAGTGGCTGAGCGCCTTGGAGGCAGAGAGCACTCCTTCTCTTCCAGGGGCCAATCTGCTAGGCGCTTTGAAGTGGCTGAGCGCCTTCAGTTTGGGAAGCTCTGGCCTGATTCCGCTGAGCGCTTTAGAATGGCTGAGCCATTCTTCTCCAGGTTTCAAAACCTACAAAATAAGCACCAAATTGGATCAAAGGCTTCCTATTCCCTGTACTAACATTAATCAAAAGTACCTCTTTGATTCTAAGCATATATAGATCAAAATAATATCAATATGTACACAATTTGTGCTAGATAAGTGTCTCAAGTGAGTATTTAATCAAACTAATTAAACACTTATCAAGCTACCCCCAACTTAGAAATTTGTTTGTCCTCAAACAAAAGGTCTTAATTGAGAGTATAATATAACTAACTTATCTATCCAGTGAATACTAAAAGTTTCACCCAAAAAATATGTTAATACATTTACATGATTTCACATGATTTCAAAGATTCCAATGAGGACATGTTTGCAAAATCCAGTGAGTACATGTTACTACAAATGGTGCCCACATAATAACAAAAATTATGAACATCAAGCATACTCAAGGGAACATCCACTTATCTTCCATTGTTTTCAATCCGAGGCACCAAAATTTTCCTCACCAAAGTGTATCTCTCAATGATATGTTGTGAAGGGTGAGTGTTTCTCTCATTTCATGCACCAAAACACGCTAAGTCTGATTTGTTACCCGTCTCCCACAAGTCTGTTGTTAAAACTAAGCATGGATCACTAAGGACTTAAGAGGGTTGTAATGTGGCCTGGCTATCAGAAATTTGGTGTTTCTTTGGGAATCTGAAGGCCTGTTTGACAAGAGACATTCTCACTCATATGGGTTAATACCAAATTCTTGCACTAGCTTGAATTCTCTTGACTCTTTAAGTCTCCTCCCTCTTTTGATTGAATTTACTGGTTCCTTCTCTTTCAGATTACACAAATTGATGAAATGGTAACAAGGAAACTTGATTTAAAATTAACTCTAAATAGAATTTTTGTTTTTGTTCTTGTTTTTGTTTTTGTTTTGTTTTTTTGTTTTTTGTTTTTACTGTAATAGAAATACACAGGAAACACACTTTGCCTGTACAATTCAGCTCCCACCACATGATCTCTTCATACAAGCTACCCCCAACTTGGTTCAAACCCACTTGTTTCATGAGAATGTCTCTTACCAACAAGGCTCAAGGACAATCATGGTTTTTCTTTGTAAGCTTAGGGGTTCTGTTTAGGGTTAGATTTAGCTGTTAAAGAGACAATGTACTTCATGGGTTGGCTTTTTGGCTACTGGCTAAATAAAATAACTGCCTTAGTAAATTTCATGCATAGCTTAACTGTAACTCATAAGAGACTCAAACAAAACTGACCGCATGAATCAATGATGACTCTCAAAGATTGAATTTTAACTGTTTGGCCCACTCACTCACACGGTTTGGTTAAGTGCCCTAGACATCAACAACTTCATACTCGTTCCAACTTCACTTGAACAAACTTGAAGCACATAATTAAAGTCAAAAATGTACAACCACTTGTGCAACAATGTAAATTCCCAGATTAGAAAACACAGTTCATTGAAAACTTGAATCATGAAATTGTTCCTTCCAAAAAAAAATTGTCAGTTAAGTTCCCAAAAAGAATTTTGTGTTTGTTTTTCCTTTTTTTTGTTTTTTTTTATATACATTAATGATATTGTCGTCCAAAAACTCTTTACCCAGTGAAGAGTCATTAAACCAAATCAAGAAATTAAAGTCCAAGCAACTAATGTACCCAAAATAAACTGCAACTTAAAGTACTGAAAATAAATGAAACAAACTGCTAAAGATACTGTAAAATAACAAAATAAACTGCTAAAGAACCCTCATGTGTCCTCCTCATCGTCCTCGTCTCCTTCTTCAACACCTTCTCTTTGCACCTCCTCGCCTTCTTCATCTTCATCTCCACCTTCTTGCTCCTGCTGCTCTTCCTCTCCTCCCTCAAAGTGTGGATTGTCCCCAGGCCAATAGAATTGTTGTTGGAAGGTCTCTAGGGATGGCCATTGGAACAAAGGGCCTCCATGAAACTGTTGTTGATGGGCATGGTACATGCTCGTGTTGAGAGACATCAGCGCTAGATGATTTGCTAGATTTTGTTGCTCAATATGGTGAAAATGAGCAACCATGAATTCCTGTCCAGCTACTACCTGGGAAGAGAAAGAAGATCCATGCCCTGGCCTCTGAGGTCTAGGCTGTGAAGCCTCACCTTGTTGTTCACTCTTGCAGTGGATCTTAATGTAGGCAGCATTAATGGGAGGCCGGAGAGATTTGTTTAGATTAACCGGAAGACGAGAGCCACTGAATAGACACAACCCTGTAATCAAACCTGGAAATCCCAGGGGTTTAGAAACACCTGTCAGAGAAGGAATGGATAGGACAGTCTTGTGTATTTCATCTGAGATGATGGAAGCTATGTCCACACCATCCTTTTGCAAAACGGAGTAAAGGAGAGTTTCCCGGGGCATGTTTAAATCAGAGATGTGTGTAAGGCAATACACATTACAGTACAGGAAGTTCTGCCAAATGCGTGCAATGGTGGTCAGATTCTTCCTAAGAAAAGAAACCGGGTTCCCCGTCACCCCTACTATGTAAATGCATCCTGGTAGACATAAAAGCTTGGCCATCTTATCAGCATTGAATGCCTAGGCCTTCTTTATGCAGCCGTATTCATCTAGACCATCATCTCCCAGACTGTAAGGATTACCCAAATACTCATTAATGGCATCCCTGGAGTAGCTGACCATAGCTCCTCTGACCCAGCTGTTTCTGGTCTTATCAGTCCTCTGGAGCGGGTAAGCATTGGCATAAAACTCCTTAATGATGTCTTCATTATATTTTTTCTCCGGAGTGGCCAATTTATTCCATTTCCTTCTAATCATCTCTCCTTGAAAGTCCACATACTCTCCTGCTTCCAACTCCACCTTCCTTTCAGCAATTATCTGTCGAGACTCCAGTTCTGTATACCGTTGTTGCTTTGATTTACTCATAGATCTCTGTCTGTCCAAACGGAATGGAGCCACAGATGGAGGAGTGGGTTCATCATTGTCAGAATCATGCGGAGGGGGATTTGAGGAAGCGGCCCCCTTCCGTTTCTTGCTAGCTGGAACCTCATGAGTGGATATGGATTTCCCCGTCTGCAATACATTCAACAAACAAGGAGCAAACACATGTGTTAAATTAAATTATTCAACAGGGTACAATGTGGGTCTCTGCCCCTAATCCGCTCAGCGCCTTGGAAGCGCTGAGCGCTTTGGCTCAGAATTTAAAAACTGTTACTTTTGAGCTTGAAACCTCACACTCCATGAAACCCTTTCACGAAAAACAGTTTAGGCTTAAAATGGTATGACATTAAAGATTCAAACCCTAATCATGTAATGCAGAAAGTCAAAAACCCTAACACGTAACCCATGAACCCTAATACAGAAATTCAAACCCTAAACATGTATGATTGCAAATTACCCACTAAGATGACAAAAATTTGAGAGCAGAACAAAGATTGAACCCTAACCAGAGTGGAGAAGATAAGAAAGTAGTTACCCATCAAAGCTATGGACTGATACACAAGAAGGAGTGAATAGAGACATACCTGGAATATGGATTTATGTTGTATGCACGAAGGAGAACAAGGAAGCAATGTGTAACGTGATTGAGAGTAGTGGGAAATGAAGTTTAGTCTCAATGTTTTCTGAATATGAAACGAAATGAGTAGTTGAATTAAAAAGAATTGGTCTTTCAACTTCTGAGAAAATGGGCTTTAAGTTATACATGGACCCAAACCCGAGATTCATCCGCTCAGCGCTTGAGAAGCGCTGAGCGCTTTAGCTCTAGAGAGCTTACTAAGTCCAGGCGTTGAGCGCCCCAGATGCGCTGAGCCATTTAGCTCCAGAGAGCAATGCTCTCACAAGGCGCTGAGTCATTAAAAAGCGCTAAGAGCTTAGGATCCAGAGAGTTCCAAAAAACTTTTTGTCCTCCCAGGCGCTCAGCCACTCAGAAGCGCTGAGCGCCTCGCTTCCAGAGACCCCTCTTTGAAATTTTTCATTTGAGGCGCTGGGCCATTCAGAGGCGCTGAGCGCCTTACCTCCAGAGACTTCTCTGTTTTGCTAACTGATATGAGGGGCTAAGCCATTGGGTCCTGGAGCAGAAATTCTTTTATTCCACATATGACTAAGTTTAACTCAAAATTCCTAGAGTTCTTCTACACTCATATGCAACAAGCACACATTGAACATAAAAGGAGAATGCAAAAATATCAAGCAAGCATATAAACAAGTTATCCTACATATTGAGTCCTAAACTCACTCTCTAAAACAACAACAAAACTGAAATTAAACATGCAAATACTAAATGACCAAAACCAATTTCAAAACATGTTGGCTGGGTTGCCTCCCAGAAAGCGCTTCTTTATTGTCATTAGCTTGACATTCCTTTAAGTCATGGATCATTGAGATGAGCAACAGTGGTGAGTTTCTCAACCTCACCACCCAAGTATGGCTCGACTCTTTGACCATTCACCTTCTAAGATCTCCCAGAATTTGGCTCTTCCAACTCCACTGCCCCATATGGCTTAACTGATTTGATCACAAAGGGGCCTGACCATTTGGACTTGAGCTTTCCAGGGAATAATCTCAACCTGGAATTGAACAACAACACCTGCTGGCCTGGTTGGAAATTTCTCTGGACAATCTTCCTGTCATGGTAAGACTTGACCTTGCTCTTATAGATCCGGGAAGATTCATAGGCCTGTAATCGCATTTCTTCAAGCTCATGTAGCTGAAGCTTCCTTTTTTCACCTGTGGCCTTCAAATCAAAATTTAATGCTTTCAAAGCCCAATAAGCCTTATGCTCCAACTCAACTGGGAGATGACAGGCTTTCCCATATACAAGTTGAAACGGAGAGAGTCCAATTGGAGTCTTGTATGCTGTCCTGTAAGCCCAAAGTGTATCATCCAATTTCAAAGCCCAATCTTTCCTTGAGCTGGCTACAGTCTTTTCTAGAATTCTCTTCAACTCCCTATTAGACACCTCTGCCTGGCCATTTGTTTGAGGATGGTAAGGTGTAGCTACCTTGTGTCTCACACCATAGTGTTCTAACACCTTTTTCAGCTGTGTGTTGCAAAAATGAGAACCACCATCGCTAATGAGCACCCTTGGCATTCCAAATCTGGTAAAGATGTTCTTCTTGATAAACTTGATCACCGTTCGTGCATCAGCCTTCTGAGTTGCCATAGCTTCCACCCATTTAGAAACATAGTCCACAGCAACCAGAATGTACTCATTAAAATAAGAAGATGGAAGTGGTCCTACAAAGTCAATTCCCCAACAGTCAAAAACTTCTACTTCAAGAATGTTTTGTAAAGGCAGCTCATGTCTTTTGGAAATTCCTCTGGTTCTCTGACACTTATCACAATTTTTGCAGTGTTCATGAGAATCCTTAAAGAGAGTAGGCCAGTAGAATCCGGACTGGAGAATCTTTGCTGCTGTGCAATCTCCATTGTAGTGACCTCCATAAGGTGAGTTGTGGCAGTGTTATAGTAAAACCGATGTAAATTTAGCGATGTAAAAGAGTGTTTTTGTAGTAGTGGTCCCAGTTGGTGGCTCAGTCGGAGGAACTGGCATTTGTAAACCCTGGTGATCAACTCGCCTTCGTCGACGACTTAGCCCCTTTCCTTCTCGTTGACCCGCCCCAATGTGCTCCACCTGAACTGCGTCTGGTTGTGGTAATGCTGCAGCTGGAGTCAGTGTAAAAGGGAAACTCACCCTGCTCACCTCGTCTCGCAACTGCAAGCAGTGGCCGATCCTCTCATGCATCATGGTAAAATCGAAGGAATCCCTATGTTCTTCACTGGTGCTATGATACATGTGTTCCAAAACATCGGTCTACAAATAACATAATAAATATCATCAGAACACTAAATTTGTAAATATGTCACAAGTAATTATTTAAATACATCTGTAGATTTGTACTCACTACATATCCTTCCTTTGCACTAGAAGGAGAAATCCATCGCCTTGTGTGTTTCCTATACCACACCATGTATTCTGAGCTATTGCTCAAGTGTGGTGTATCACACGCAGGTTGTGTCCATACACGATGAAGTCGTGATTGCCACTCCTGCACAAATTGAATGTGCATGCGTGACTAGTCCGTGTTATCCTTGCCTCTCAAGGAAAGATCATGCAATTTCTCTGGATGAATAGGAGGCGCAGGAATGTGTTGGACCATCCCAAATTGTCGCATGACACGATCTGCGTAATGATACTCGACGATGTCGAAATTAATCAATGGGACAGTTGACCTCCATACTTGTGAGTTCTCAAAACAGTAAGGAGGTAATGTAGGTAGTAACTCCAAGTATGGTTGCCATACAAACTGCAAAACAACATAACAAATAAGTAGTTATCAATTATCATTTATAATTACAATTTTTAAATATAAATCTTGAATAAAATATTATAAATTAAGACTTACATCCTCTCTTTTTAAACGGTCAAAATACTCTCTATACTTCACAATTTTATCTTTTGTTTCCTCTCTAGGTTTATGCAAGGCATAATTCCACCTGTT